TGTTCAAAAACGCCGATTTGCTGAGAAATTGAAACGCAGATCACTGAAGGAGAGACTATAGATTGTGTTGCTAAGTTTTGAATTTTTGTTGGGTGCTTTGATTGTGTGTGTTTATGGTTTTCGAAAAGTTTTCGCCATGAATGGAAACAATGGAGGACCAGTTCCGATTGGGGAAGAATGTAAGGCGACTTTAGTTTACATGTCCGGTTATCTCCCAGGAGCCGCACCAGAGAAATCCCCAATTCTCTCTCCTGTTTTCGTCAGGTTACCGGCGGAGATTCATGGAAAGACGTTTGTGGCCGAGGTTGTGGATTCGTTATGGCGATTTCAGGTTGAATTAAAAAAAAATCTGTGTTTTTTCTCGGATTTAGTGTCTTCGGAAGATCGATATGAGCTTTACTAATCATGTCTCTTGGTGGGTTTTCAGAGAAAGGGAAGCTTTTAACTTGGGGTTCTTCCGATGATGAAGGGCAAAGCTATGTGGCTTCTGGAAAGCATGGGGTAAAGTTCTTGAGTTATAAGATTATGGAATCTTGTTCGTCTCTTCTTTTAACCTTTAGGGTAACGAAATTGATTCTATTGTTGTTTGTTTTTCTTTCTTGGAATACGATTGGTTAAGGAAACTCCAGCGCCGTTTCCTCTTTCCATGAAGGCTCCAGTCGTACAGGCTTCTGCAGGATGGGCACATTGTGCCGTTGTAACAGGTAAATGATTAGCCTTACTTCTGTGGCTTTTACTCTGGGACAATTTTCTTGTAATGTTTGATGTGCCAAGGTGGAATATTTAGGATTTGATCAGTTTAAACATAAAAAAGGATTAATGATATTTGTAACTATGTCTTGTTATCTGAAGACATGTGTGTTGGTGTGTATAGAGGGTGGTGAAGCATTTACTTGGGGTTGGAAGGAGTGCATACCATCAAAGGATCTTGGTGGAAAGCAGCAGAAAGGCTCAAGTGAGCAAGGTGAGGTTGGTTTGGATATCTTTGGTTTCAGTGGTGTTACTTGTTTATCATTGATGGATATGGTATGTTCTTAATTGTGATAGTGAGTGCACCGTCTCAAGGTTCCAGTGCAACCAGCGGTATGACGTTACAGAATGAGAACCGAAAAGTTGGAGAGGAATCATTGAAGCGAAAACGGGTTTCAACCGCCAAAGATGAGTCGGAAAGCCTTGCATCTGGAGAGGACTTCTTTGCTACAACACCTTCACTTGTGAGTGTTGGCCTTGGAGTGAAGATCACCAGTGTTGCTACTGGTGGTCGGCATACTCTGGCATTGTCAGGTGAAGTTGAATAAACGACTTCTTTACAATCCGAGATGAAGCTGCTTCGTCTGTAGTTTTTTTAGCCTAGGTTATGTGAAGCCTGAAGATCATTGAGGATGATTGCATCTTATGTGTCATGTTTCTGCGGAAGTTTCAGATATAGGACAGGTATGGGGTTGGGGATATGGAGGCGAAGGGCAATTAGGAATGGGTTCCCAGATTAAAATGGTGTCGTCTCCTCATCTAATACCTTGCATTGAATCACTTGGATCTGGAAAAGAAAGAACATTCATATTACATCAAGGGACAGCAACCACGTCTACTCAAGTTCCAAGAGTTCCTGGTCAGTATATAAAGGCAATTTCTTGTGGAAGGTGTCATAGTTCGGCAATTACATGTCTGTTGTGACTTCTGAAATATTTTTCTGTACAGTTGACTTAACTGGATTGGTATGAAAGAAAAAAAAAAGGTTACTTTGCAGTATATGTATTTCTCAAGTTGATATATGTATTCAAGACTGGTCGAGATTTTCTTTTGTGATGGTTTGATTTTGATTGCTCGTCCTTCCTAGTTGCAGATGCTGGAGGGTTAATAACTTTTGGCTGGGGACTCTATGGATAGGTGAATCTTTGTCTGATTTTCAAATCGAGGGAGTCTTCACTTTAGTTGCAAATGTGTTCTGTTTAGCTTCTCCATGTCCTCATGCTAATTGGAAAATATTTTTGGCATTTAGTGTGGCCACGGAAATACAAATGACCAGTTAAGGCCTATGGCTGTGTCGTCAGTGCAGAATGTCCGAATAGAAAGCGTAGCAGCTGGATTGTGGCATACTATTTGCATCTCTAGTGATGGTAAAGTGTTTGCCTTTGGTGGAAACCAATTTGGGCAACTTGGAACTGGCACTGATCATGCTGAGGTACATCTCTTGTAATCCAAAATTAGTGACTTTCGGTTGAGAAGTCTTGAAAGTTTTGTCGATTCATTAATGGAAACAATCTGGTATACTCAAGTAACGTACCATCTCTCTTCTGATTTTAGACAATACCGAGGTTGCTGGATGGCCAGAATCTGGAGGGCAAACACGTAAAAGCAGTTAGTTGCGGCGCGCGGCATAGTGCGGTTTTGGCAGGTATGGTTTTTGAAATGTTAATGGCAGAAAGGGACCACTCCGAAACAAACTGAGGCCTAGCAACTTGGCATTTGTTTTCAGTTGTTTTAACGAGAAGAAACTAAAGAGCCCTAGCTTGTGAGATGCTGCAACTTGTATTCAGGTCTTCTTTTGCATTGTTTTCAGTTTTAATTTGTGGTCACACTTCTTACAAGAAAGAAAAAGTGATCACCTTCCTTTCTAGACAATATAACATGTTCGTGAAACCCTTTGCGTTCTATGATACATGCCTGATGTCAATGCTCCCTTTAAGTGTAGTTCACGGTAATATCTTTAAAGGTGATACTGAATGTTTTCTCTGTTTTGCTCATTCGCACTGCGTTATTTTGTATCTGCAGAAGATGGTCAGTTGCTATCCTGGGGATGGAACAAATATGGACAGGTTTGATTTCGTTCCTGTTTTGGTTTTCTGGTTTCGCTAAGCGGTTATGTCTCATTGTGCATATAAAATATAAACAGCTGGGTCTAGGGGACACGATCGATAGGAACATTCCTACGCAAGTCCAGCTCGATGGCTGCAAACTGAGGAAAGTGGCATGTGGATGGTGGCATACGTTACTACTAGCCGACTCACCCACTTGAATTTTCACAATCACTCACCAGATCCTCAACACGCATTTTCGGATTTTCATCTTGTGAAAGAGTTTGCTTATAGGTTTGACAAAAATCTGTACATACAGGCTTTTGCTGTATGTTATTTCTTCTTCGTCTTCAGATAATTTTTTTCTACAGACAGGAGTTTTGACTTTCCATTGTGTTATAATGGAACAATAAAAATGTTTGGTATGAAACAATCTTAGGTGTACCAGTATAACAATTTGATTTTAAGATTGGT